TTAGAATTTCTCACTACTATGCTACTTTCACTAAATGTTTATAATTAATTTAAGTGTGTCATTGTTAAAGTTCTTTCTTTGATACAAAGTATATGGTGTTGTAGCTAGTTTTGGACTAAACAAAATTTCTTAGTAATAATTTTATTTTTGCTTGCCAATCTACATCATTAACTGCAACTTATAAAGTATTTTCTTACCAAATAAAATAAACATTTTCATTTTAAACTCTTTCTCACTTTTTTGTATTTGATTCAATGTCTTTTCCACTGGCAATGGATCATAATTTAGGGTTATAGTGTTTCACTGAGTTTGTGCAACTTTTTTTATTGCTTTTTTAACTGAATCATTTGTGTCATCTAATGATTGATATACTTTGAGTGTTAATTATGTTTGACTCTGTTGCTCTTCCACTGCATTAGATATCATTTTTTCTGTTTCAGCACCTAACTATAATTTATTAATATGATTCCACACAAGTTTCATAATTTCAATTTGTTGCCAGGAATTTTAACTATATTGTAAGCTGGCTTGTTGATATTTAGAAGCAATAACAAAAAAAGTTGATTTAAATTAAGAGTTATAGTGTATCAATTTAAGCATATTTGTTTTACCATAAGACAAAAAAAAAAAAGAACTTCCAGTTATGACACATGTCTAGATTTCATCATCTGTATTTCTTTACAGTGATACCAAAATGTACCATGAGATGTTGTAAGTCATTACTTTAGAATGTTCACAAACATAACCATTTTGTAAAGTAGAACAGCAACAAGTCAATTTCTATAAATCAACATAATCTGTACTTAAGTTATTTTGCTGGGTTAATAACACTGATGTGGAAAAGCAATAGGAAAATTGAAAAATGTCACAATAACATTTCCACAAAATTAAAATCCCAAATTTTTATTATTATTATAGTTTCTTAAGTTTTAAACTTCAATTCTATAAATTTACATTTGTTTTCACTAATTTTAAAGACTTAAGATAGAGCTGTGACTGTATATCATAAATTGAAAGGCAACTTTATTTTTGAAAAGAATGTCTACATCATTATACTGATAACGTCATTTTGTGTCGTTAACCCAATCTGTTTTGTTATTTAGGGTAGTCAATGTGTCCAGTGCAGCAGGAATGCTTCATAACATTCCCAATGAAAAGATCCGAGAAATATTACTGTCACCTAAACTAACTGAACAAAAGCTTTGTGATATAATGAAAGAGTTTTTGAAGTAAGTTTTCATTTAACCAAGTTTATGGTAGATTGATGTATTTTGGGCTAAGTAAATCTATTTGAAATATTTTATGCAATTTAAGTTCAAAATAATATGAGACATAAAAAAAACTTAAATATGCATAATTTCTGTCGAGATCATTAAATCAAAAAGTGTTGTTTTTTTTCAGTTTTGATAATTATATATATTTTTAAGTTACTAAATATTTTTGGAACATTGTTTAATTTCCACAAGTCATAAAATAAAATTTAAATAATTCAGTTTCTTTGTTTTTATAAAGCTGTATATTTTCTTGTGATTATATTTAAAAGTATGCTTTGAAAAGTTTGCCTAAATATATCATTATCACTTTAACTGTTACTTGAGCTAAATACATTTATTTGTAAATTAAAAATTTTATTGATGAAGTTAAGGTACCTGAGTAAAAAGTCAAAACAGGTATTCAATAGGTGTTCAAAAGGATGTGGTATATGAACACTAAAATAATAGCTATACGTCTGCATTTACAAGTCAGTATGTACATCACAAGTTTTATACTTAAAGCTTCGTGTTAAACTGAACAAGAAGAATCATAGTTCCATTATTTTTTCTTGACATTATTCTAAACCAATTTTCTTCTCATGTTAATTAATCCAGTTAGCATACTTCATACTACACATAATGGGATTGTGTCCATCTTTCAAATCCACATATATTAGTACAATCAATCACCCAGTATCACTGGTTTTACTAAATGTTAAAACAGTGTGGTTTCCTGATAGTACATTACAAACAGCTTTTGAGACACAGTTGAATCTCATGTTTTTATTCCCCTGCTGATAACAAGTTTTTCACTTATATCGTTAAGCAGGGTTAACGATATAACGATGCATCCTCGAAATTGAGAATGGAATTTCAAGAGCCTGAAAGTGCTTAAAAAGGGGCCTTTTTTTGCAAAAATATTATAATAGCAGAATTTTCGAACAAATAAATAGAAATTCTATAAAATTTCAGTGGAATCTGATTGATTTTGACGTCGATTTTAGCTTACAGAAAGTGCTTGAAATTGAGAGCGATTCAGTATGAACCATCTCATTTGTCTTATATTACAGCTCTCTTTTTTTTGTTTTCAGTATTTTTATGAAAAATCTTATCTTGTGTCTTTTTTTATATACATCTGTCAAATTGACAACATTTGATTGAATAAAATTTTTATTTTTTTATGGACAAACAATGATTTACATGTTCCATTCTGTTTATGTTAAAGATATTCATATAAACATACAGGGGTTAAATTCTCAAACAAAAAAGTAGAGGTATTCAGCTGGGTGAAGTGGACCTGCTTTTGAAAAAGAAACAAAATCTATGTGTAAACATAAAAAAATGACAAAGCAGCTCAAATAAGTTCTGGTACTAGTACTGCCTTTAAAAAATAAGTTCCAGTACTTGGTATTGGCTGAATTTTGCCCTTGAATACACACACACACACACATATATATATATATATATTGTTCGATATATATATATATGACTTTGTTTTAAGCTTGTTTTGGTATTTTGTACACACGTGTATCAGTGTTTTAACATTTGTAAAAACATAAAAGTACCTAGAATTTTGCAGTTATAATTTATATATTGCTAGAATCACTTAACAAAATTGATGTTGCAATTGAAAAACTGCTATACCTTGCCATTCCTTAACTGGAAAGAATGTACCTTTATTCAGGTAAATTTTTCAAAAATTTTGTACAGATGTTTCATGATAACCTAAATACAAAAAATCTTAAACTTGCACCAATTCTCTGTCTTGGACAGAGATTAAATACCACAGCCGTTACTGTAAAGGCTTATACTAGCTTGATCCTGCTTCATTATCATTACTCTTCTGATGTGTGGGCCATACCCAATTCGAAGGTTTATACAGAATTTGTGCAGGCTAGTATGGGCTGGTGGTTTCTCTCTCTTGAACATGTACAAGGAATGATTAGATAGGCAATTTAAGTTTATGAGATATTGTACTCTGAACTTCCATTTTGACTTTACAATGAGATATACCACAATTCTTACCTCAATCTTCTTCTCTCTCAACTACTAGCAGCCAGAGAAGTTCTGTTAATATACATAAAAGCCAGCCAGAAGAAAGACACCACATCACAGCATTTTCTTTTGCCTTGAATCTTTTCATTAAAGACTTTTGTTTTTGTTATACATTTCACACTTTTATATTTGATTTTTCCTTCAGCTGTTGGGGTGCAGGTTGGCCCTGTGGTGAAGTTTTGGATTTCAGAGTTGGTGAGCTGGGTTCAAATCTATGCAATACTGCAAAATGTTTCCCATATTTTAAACTGTGGGTGCATTATAAGAATGACAATAAATCCCTTAGCATGAGTTGTAAGGTTGTGGTGACTGGCTGACTTCCCTTTGGTCATTGATTCAAAACTAGGGATGGCAGCAAATAGCCTTAGTAGATTTCCCACACAAACAAAATAGAAATGCTAAATTATTTTATTCTTTGCAAGACATTTCCCAAATCTAATGTATATTGTGGATGCTTACAACTTACCTATAAGATATCAATATACCTTAATACCATATTGGTTTCACAATTTCACTTTTACAACAGGGATTCCAAGGCAGGACTGAAACAGGAGAAAGGTTGGGCAAGCACAAATTATGAAATGTCCAAGATTGGAGTTACTGCTCTAACATTTCTGCAGCAGAAACAGTTTGAAAAAGATTCTAGAGAAGATATTGTGGTGAATACTGTAAGTTTTAACTGTGAAACCATTTTAAAAAAAAAGCAGATGTATAACTCAATTAATAGAGTAGCTTTAGAACAAATCAAGGAACTATTGTTGTTGTATAGGTTTTAATTAAATGATTGATATATATATATATATATATACACATATTTATTTATTCAGTACTTCTGGCTTACTGAAATAATGATGTATAATTTATATGGCTGTAGATGCCACAAATAAATGCACATTTAACATGTATTATTGACAAATAACGTAATAATAAACTGAGCTACATCATAATAAAATTTGAAAATAAGTAAATAAATTTTAAAAGGAATGCTTATTATATAACAAATGATAAGGTGTATTTTTTCAAGTTTTTTTTGGTTTTAATATTTCACAAATCTTCTCTGAAGTTATCTCTGTCAGTAGCCAATTTGCCCTGGATGAGAGTCTACTAAGAAGCACTTTCCGTATGCTAGTTATTTTGTTAGTATATCAACTGAGTGTTAAAAATTAGCAAGACTAAAAGCCATGAAGAATTAATTATCATAGCAGATTAGAAGTAGCAGTAACTCAAAATTTAAAAAAATTGTATTGGACGTTTCTTAACACCACTAGTAATTTAAATTCATTTAAACTCATAATGATCTGTATAAATCATGAAAAAAGTTTGTTGATTTTCCAATATTTTTGAATTAATTTAAAAAAATGTTTTCATTTTCACAATGTCCTTTTTGGAAGCTCCCAGTGTTATAGATTCTTTATCTGAAGGCTTAAAACAGTCTTTTATCAGAAAAAAAGAAAACATTGTCAAGCAAGTGTAAATCAAACGTTCAGTCACAAACAATACAAGAGGTGTAATTTATAGATTAATTTTTGCTATTGCTACTTTATTCTAAAATAATGTATACTGTAGTTTTGTTCATGTGAAAATTGAAGACTTGTATGTTGCACCATAATAAATGATGTTGCGCTAGTTAGTTTTGTGTGTTGTTGTAGTTGGGAAATGTTAAACTAATAATTTAGTTTGCAGAATTCACTTGCACTGATATTCTGTGAAATGAAAAATATTTGATATTTGAGTAATTGTAGTTTGGAGAAAATAACACTAACTCTAAGATTAAAAAACCCATTGAGAATTAGTTTCACTAAGAAAAAAAAAGTGTATTAAATTTAAAAGTTATTAAAGATACATTTACGTTTGGAGTGTAAAAGCAAACAGAAATTGAATAATAAAAAATTTTATAGTAGAAAATGCAATAAAATGTTTTGATTAACCACCATGTAATTAATATTTAATATTCACTTCCCATTAGAGCAAGCTACTTACCTAGAATGATGCTAAAATTCAACCTGGTAATGAATGTAGTTAATCAAAAATATTTTTTATGTTCTTATTTATAAAGATTAGAATGCATTGTTTCATCAGTTGGATACATACTCTCTCTCAGAAACCCAAAATACTAACATATCCAATATAACTACTGATGATTTGTACTATATATAAATATATATATATATATATATATATTTTTTTTTTTTTTCTGACACAAATGCACAAAGTGGATGAGATATTATAATCTTCAAAATAAACATACAAGCCACATGTGAATTATTAAACTTTTATTTTTATAAATATTATTTTTGGAAGAATAACTACTGAAAAACGTGATCCCTGCTATCACATTCATGATTTTCTATGTTTTATTGTTCTTATTTCCTTGTGAGAAAAAAGTAAATTGAGCTTATTGTATGAAAAACTATATACCATCTGCGTACTCTGCTCTACCTTGATAATGTATTTATCTATATAATTTGATTTGACCTGCAACATTCATAAAAAAGTAACATCAGTTACGGCTGATGACTTGTGTTAATGTTTGTTAGCAATTGCAATGTTCTGGTAAACAGAATAAATGATTTATTAGGTAATCTATTCATACTTATTCCTTATACCTTTGTCATGAAACTATAGTATGCTCATTGCTGATTATATTATAAATTGTTTATTGGTAAAATTTTGAAGGATAGTAAATTCAGTAAAGAATGTTGTTGCTTGTACGATGCACTGTTAAAAATGCTTTTCTTTTCATGAACTTATTTCAGGTACATCCTGGCTATGTAAGTACAGACATGACAAACAGAAAAGGCGTTTTAAACATAGAACAAGGTAAAAAAACACTGCCTAATTTTGTGTGCTAAACAAAAACAATGCACATTTTATATTATTTGAACCATTCCAGGTTTTAATTTATGTATGAACAAAATCTTTGCTTTCCTATGAAATCTGATTGCACTTTTTTATTTTCTTATATTCAAGAAATTGTTCAGTTTTAAATATTTTTAAACAATATCGTGTGTAAGACAATTATATTGTTGTATGGCTACAAAGACTGACATTTTGATTCTTCAATTTCTGTAAAAGTTTAAATCTTTGTCTGTTAATTTTGCACTTGTCATAAAATTCACTTTTAGCATTTTGTACATAGTTCAACAACTTTAATACCACCTGCAGTATTATTAGAATTGTTGCTTAGATACCTGTCTTTAAAAACATTTCACAGAGAAATAAATTTGCAACATTCATTAAATTGTTGTCCAATGAAGGCTCCAGTAAGAGGGCTAAAAGCTCACAATCAAAGAAAACATATTTAAGGTTAATACAGAGAACAGTCCATGAATATTTTTTTACAAGAACTCTTTGTAGAGCAATTTTTATTAAAACTCTTCATCACAGTATTCCATTTTGTAAAGTTAGTCAGTTTTATACATGGAAACGATGTAGTTCTTAATTAAATGTACTCCTCTACACTTGTGATTCTACAACAGGTAGTTGACATTCCATTCAACTAAGTTTCATCATGAACACTCTGCCTAAACAATCTATCAAAGCATACTTAAATGTTTTATTGTCAGTTTCTTTTTCCAACTTCAGTTGTATGCTGACACTATGAGAGGGACATCAATCAAACTTTGTACCTGTTTTTATCTCACCCTAGTTTGTTGTGGTGTGAAATATTATCTGGTGGTTCAAGTTGGTTAGGGGATAAGTAATTACAGTTAATTGTGTGCTTTTGATTCAATAATTATATACCAGATGTTTAACTTTACAAATTACCATCATATTATAGAATTAATATTTAACATTTGTTTCTTACATTTAACCACACAGTTTAGTAAACAAACAGTTCATGAGATTCCTTAACTTTTTTTGCTTAATGGTGCAAGATGGTTTCTTTGTGCGACACCAGAGCAGAAATGTCATACAATCCTGTCTGTCATATCTTGTTATCCTAAGTATGTTTTTTTAAGTGAAATTGAGCATGTTATAAGCATTAATCATGGAAATTTATTACCTGCATAAAGAATAAAATTGCCAGATAAATCAAAACAAGTTCAGTAAAAGTTGGAATAGAAATTAAAAGTTAAATAACCTTCAATAGATTTGTCATTAAAACAAATCCACACAATGACATGCAGATTTACAATAATGATGCATGAATTGTGTGGAATGATGAATTTAAACAACACTAGTTGACCAGTGCACAACAATATTTATTAAACCATAAACACTTGAGAAACAGGAAAACAATAAATGCTTTTTTCTAGTTTGCAGGATGACAGTCCTCTTCCTCTGTAAAATAAGTTTCAAGGCCAGTGGTTGTGTTTAATAACTTGGAACGATTTCATTTTCTTCATTTATCCAAAACAAATCAATAATATGGATATTTAAGTGTTAAATGTTTACATCTACATTTGCTTAAAATAATATTTTAAATCTCTCCTGGTTAAATGGACAAGAAGAGTTTAGTATCACATGAAAAATTAATAAGTGCTAACATGCCAAGATGGCTATAAATATGAGTGGCAAGTTAAAATATAGCCAATTAGGCATTACAAGAGGATGATAATATGTAGTGTCGGTATTAGATTTTTTTAGTTCATAAAAAATCGGTAACATGAAATTACTTACATATTTAGAAAGCCTGTTTAATATCTTTTTACCTCACTGGGGTTCAGTTTTTGATTAGAACTGAAATAAATTTCAGTAACATTTCCTAGAATAGTTGTGTTTAAAAGGGCTGCAGTGTTTCTATCAAACTCAAACAATTATGGCCTCTTGTTTAGTTTATATGTTTGCTTTAAGCACAAAGCTACAGAATGGGCTGTCCTTACCATGTCCACTGCAGCTTTAGAACCTCAAATTTTAGCATTATAAGTCCTCAACTAAACTGTTGAGTCACTGAGGGCTGTTGTTTGGAAAACTTCAGTTGAATTTTACATGATGTAATTCCCAGTATTAAGGCAGATCACCTTGTAGTTTAATTTTTACATGCCTATTAATGAATTATAAAACTATACATTTATGAATACTTACGATGTTTTGGAATTAACTTTTTTAAATAATGGACTTTCACACTAATATTTTCTCTTCCTTTAACATTTAAGAAACTTAATGCATAAGTGTAAATAATTTGTACAAAATAAATAAAGTATGACTAAATAATTAGATTTTAAAATAATAATGACATTTTTAAAAAAATGCATAACCAAGTGTAAATAATAATAATTAGTACAAAATAAACAGTATGACTAAATAATTAATTACAAAATAGTAATGCGATCTTTAAAAAATGCATAATGAGCAAATAATAACTTGTACAGATGGAACAAAGTACAAATAAATAAATGTATTATGAAATTCAAAAGAATTTATCTGACAGGATTTACATCACAAATATTGAGGTGCTCTTTAAAAATTATATAAAAATATGGCTATTAGTCAAGAACTAGAATATGAATGCAAATTTACCGTACTTCAGGACTATCAAATAATTCCACAAGTTTCATACATACTGCCAAAGTAGTATTGATTTTCAGTGTGTATAATGAGAAATCAAGGATACAGTTGAAGAATGTGCTTTATAGTTGTCAAGTGCTATGTACAGGTAGTTATATTAAGGTTTGTTTTTGTTTTTGAATTTCGCGCAAAGCTACACGAGGGCTATCTGCGCTAGCTGTCCCTAATTTAGCAGTGTAAGACTAGAGGGAAGGCAGCTAGTCATCACCACCCACTGCCAACTCTTGGGCTACTCTTTTACCAATGAATAGTGGGATTGACCATCACATTATAACGCCCCCATGGCTGAAAGGGCGGGCATGTTTGGTGTGACGGGGATTCGAAACTCGCGACCCTCAGATTGTGAGTCGAGCGCCCTAACCACCTGGCCATGCCGGGCCTCTATATTAAGGAGAGCAAGAATAAATTATACATTTTTTTTTACAAGAATCTCATAAAGTTACTTTTAAGGAACATGATGAAAGTATTTCTTATCTTAAAGAAGTCCTATAAATGATAAGAACATATTTTCTCTAATTTTTAATATGGTAGATTTGCAAAGTGATGAAGCAGTTTAGTACCAAGTGGAAGAGTACTGCAATGAGTGAGATACTAAAACAAGAAATATTCATTTACTGCAATGAAAATTTACTTCATTTTCTAGAAAGACCTAAGACTTAGATGTAGTAAAAATTAATTATTTAGATTGATTTGAAAAATGATTTTTATTGTATTCTGAATTCATGTTTATTGTATAAATGGTAAATCAGGGGGAAGGAAGGTAATTTGATAGGTCATTTTGGACTACTTGCTTAAATGTAATACAGCTTAACTGAGGATCTGCTATAGAAATATAAAGCATCAAAATATGTATTCTATTTTAAGTCTTGAGAGAAACAATTAAATTTTTATAAGTGAGTTTTGAGCAGTTCTTTCCACATGGTAATAGTTTGTTTTTAGTTGAGCTTAAGAAAAATAAACACACAGTTGTTACAGTCAGTGTGGGTATTTGGAACAGTTTGTAGTGTGAATCATGTAATTTACAGGTAAAATATTTTATTTACATGCATAAGCAATTACAGAGTGCATTCTGCCCTGATCTGTTGACTACTGTATCAATAATAACAATAGTATTAGATATTACAACAGGCAACAACTCATCAGGAGTTACCCAAACCTCTGTTACACTAGCAATATTCAGTTGATAAATGGTTGCTGACCTATGATAATAGACCCACATCTCCAGAAAGTTATATCACCAGTAGTAAGCAGGAAAGAGATTAGGGGAGCATGGTGACCAGGCAAGATAAAAGTGGCTGCAAAAGACTTGAGTCTTCATAACAAAATTCAATGTGGGCAATGTAGTAAACAAGTAGTGAATAAGGGGCAGAGAACAATCTTGCATGAAAGTGATATCCATTCAAAGTTCTGAAAATGTGCAATATCTTGTGATAATGTTGTCTAGCCATGGCATCCTTTATTTTTTAAATATTTGCCGTGTTCACTGCTGTGGCCTGTTAATTTTCAGTGGCCAAGATAGCACAATTATGAGTGTACACACATGACTACGAAGAGAGAAATGGGTCTCATCTGTATGCAGGATATACCATGGTTAGTTTTAATCAGCTACAACACATGTAGGAATTCTTATGAAAACAATTTTTTGGAATTTATTGACACATACTTTTATCTCTACAGCATTTTGAATGGTGTTAGTGAAACATATGGTGGGCCATGTGGAAAGTTTTTCTCCTAGCAAACCTTAGGTACTGCTTGTGCAATAGATGGATTCTACAGCAAGGGTTTCAGAGTTGTGAGCACCTTTACAGTGGTGTCAACTAATGTTTGTAGATACTCTGTAAAATTGGCTACAATTCCTATCTAACTTTCTAATTTATCTGCTGCCAGCAATAGCTGTGCATGGTTCACATCTTGTGTTGATCCTGCACAGGTATTCCCAGAGCGCTGCCTCGGTATTGCAGCCAATTTGATTATACAGTTCTACTGACATGATCTGTTGTTCTAATATTAGTGTGTTTTCTTCCACTGCTAACCACTGTAATGGATTTTTCACGACATCTTATGCAAGTAAACAAAATGTGTTGCCTGTGTTATATGGTTTGCCCTGAGAGGTTATTTCAAATACCCATACTGATTTTTTTACTTGAGAGAAAACTTTGAAAATCTATGTTCAGTATGCACTGATAGTCACCTGATTGTATGTGTACAGTATTTTTCAAATATATATAATATTTTTACTTCTGTATCTCAGGTGCTGAACCTATTCAGTATGCACTGATAGTCACCTGATTGTATGTGTACAGTATTTTTCAAACATATATATAATATTTTTACTTCTGTATCTCAGGTGCTGAACCTATTGTATATGCAGCATTGTTGCCAATTAACATCACATCTCCAAAAGGTGAATTCATTTGGGAAGATTCTAAAGTTGTGTCATGGAGGTGAAACCAGTGTTAAAGAATTGTTTGACTGCAAGTGAAATATAGTATTTCAATACATTTTGGAAAATAACGTGTAATGCAAAAACTGTTAAATTTACACACACACACATATATGTGTGTGTGTTTACTTTTTCACAGTGTAATTACACAATTCATTTAGTTTTGAAAATTTTGTACAACTTCAAAATGTATTTGATTTTTTTTTAATAAAAAACAACCCAACTTGTCTGAAAGTTATACCTTATAGTTAAAGAGCCAAATACTTACTGGAATAGCATTTTTGGAAAACTTTTAATATTATATGCAAAGTAATATTTCCAACTAAGTGATTAATTATTATGTGAAAATGGAAGTAAGAGCCTCAATTTTCACTTATATGTAAATTATAGAAAGTGTGTAGACTTGATGAGATTTCTAATAAAGTCTTTTAGTTCACCTTCTGCTTGTTAAGCTAGTCATTTAAATATTATGTTAGTAAAATATGGCATAAAAGTACAACTTATTCTTGTTAGGTATGTTTTTTGTTATTACTATGGGCCTGAAATTCTGTAAGTCAGGTATTTTAACAATGGCCAAAGTATCTTTTTTTCTGCGTACAATTTATGTTTGTAGCTCAATTATTGATTGCTTAAAACCTCATGTTCTGAATACAAAAACAGATACACATCTAATACAAACAATATCAAGAAATATATAAGAACAATTATGTTATGCAGAATAAAAGTCACAGGTGCAAGCTTACTGAAGTGAATGAACAGTTAATAACTTTTTCAATCCCTCCCTCCTTTCTCCAGCACATATTCTTACTTATGTAACGACTAAAATAGTGTAGGAAACTGAAGAGAAGAATATCAGAACAAAATTATCAAAAGTAAACTTACCTTAATTCTGTTTTAATAAGTTCAAACAAAACATTTAGGAGTAAGTACCACAAATACAAGGTGAAAGATCATCAAAGTTGTGAATCCTTTGTCACTAGCATGTGGTCAAAAATTGGATTTTCTGGTAAAATGTGCATATTAGTAATAAGAAAAAATAAAACATGCAACACAAATGTTTACAGATCTCAGAAATACTATAGAATATTAAGGTAGTCTTACTTAATTTAAAGTGTTCTGGAAAATTTGTTCTGTTAAGAAAGCAATACGTATGATATGTAATTTTTTAGTTGTGGGGTGAATTGAAATATTGGGTTTATTACAAAAGTTTTGTTTTGTGTGCTTATGTCAACTGAATACATTTAGATATTCATATCCTACAATATATTTTGCAAGTATGTTTGTATATACACACTGCACTAAACCATTAAAGGATTATTACAATATATATTATTTAGCTATAACAATGCAAAAACCACAATTATAAAATATCATAAATCATCCTCTCAGTTAATTTTTATGCATATGGGGCACCTGTTGATCCATTACATGAGCTTAAATGTAAATGATTGGCCATTTAGTTTATGCTTAATAGTCAAAGTGGCTTTACGTCTTTACAGTTTATGACATTTCACTTTAGTATGAAGTATAGTTACCATAAACAGCATCAGAACCCTGGCACCAATTTTGTATTATTAACATCAGATTGTTGATAAGTTCCTGTGATATCCTCTAGTACTGTCCTGAAAGAGCTAATTCCTTGCCAACTTTAGTGTTTGGAGTCACCTGATAAGATGTAATGTAGTGTGCAAGAACTTCTTTTACATGATTGATGGGATTTAAGTCTGGTGAGTGTACAGGCCACTCCATTCAGCTAATCCTAACTACTTCTGTTTACAGGTTTTGTAAACCTTGAAAAACATTCATTGTACTGTTGAAGTTTTGGAAAATGTGAACACTTGATGAACCATCCCTCATATGAAAACATTTTCTACCTAATATCATATATCAGGAGAATAGACAACAATTGTATCACAGCCATTGGCTTTGGACTACATGCAGTGCATGAGGATCCTTGTGTTCAGTCTCCTTGTGGTATAGAAATTAACGGATAAGTTATACAACTTTGCTGAAAAAAATTTGATATTTATTTAGGAGGTTCTAGAGGTTATGCAAATAAAATGTGAAAACTAAGATGAGAAAAGTATTTTTAATTCATAAATTCACTGGTAAATTTTTAGTAAAAATACTTAATTAAAATATGCAATTACTTTAGTCACACAAATTATGCAAGCAGATGTAAGTAGAGATGCTCATTTATAGACTTAGAGTTTACGTATCACTACTGACTTATCAATGATATGCCATCATCATTATAATGCCATTGGTGCACAAGAACTTTTTTTTTTTATACTGGATCTGATGTAAAGAAAATGTGTGTTGCTTTCCATGGCACTTTTTCATCTATAAGCAAGGAGCTCAGTAAATATCTACCAGCATGTCATCCTTTGACAGGATATGATTCAACGAGTTGTTTATCAGGAACTAGAAAAAAGGAAGTTCTCACCACTATCAAAGCTTATAAGAAAGACACACATCTTTTGCTAAATTTAGGCATCAATACATCCAACATAATCATGATGTTCTATTAGTTGCAAGACTCTTCATATACAAGTTGTATAGCCAGAATTTTGAAAACATGGACGGCTTATGCCACTTTTTACTCACAAAAAAGTATTTGAGTACCAAGTGCCCACGAACAAATTGTTTTGTTGATATATACATTAAAACAGCAAACTTTCAATCATTTATCTAGATCCCTGCATTGCAGCCCATTCTTCATCTACCATCTCCAGTCATTACAGGTTTGGAACATGATGATAGTGGTTCTCTTGTACCAGGCTTTTTCAATGTTAAAACAGCACCAAATTCAATTGTAGAATTAACATGTGTGCACTGAGACCTGCAAATGGAGGATGACGAAGCGGATTCTGATTCCAACCCTGAACTGGACTAGATGATATCAATGAATAAATGGAATATAGTTAGACATTTCACTGAAATAATCATTATTCATAAGCAATACTCATAATTTATAGTCAATGTCCAGCTTCAAATAGTGTTCCAATAGAGGGCTTACCACACCATGCATTTCTCAGGCTGAAGAACCTAATCATAGATTGACAATTATTAGACTAATATTGTGCATCTACTCAAATTAAAGTATATATCCCCCCTGACTACCTCAACTTCAGTACTTACACCTGTTTGGAGTTCCGTAAAGATGTGTTGATCAATATCTCACCAACCAAGCCTTTAAAAAGAGGGTTTATTCACTCCATCCGTGGACTACTTTGTTTCATTCCTGCCTCCTCCTTACACAACATTTTCAGAAAAAAAAATTTAGTTTCTTCCTAGTCTCTTGCTGTCATAACTATTTATTACATTGTCTTTTTAATCTTTACCTTCTGAGAAGCTTACAGTCTACTAAAACATAGCAGGATGGTTTCAGGCCCACCTGAAAAGAAATGAGATGGCATCTTCCCTACTTCGAGCATTGGGCAAATAAAAAAAATAAAACTAGGCTTCTTGTACTGGTAAACTTTATGTTAAATGTATGATACTTGTGAAAGAAGTCACTTTAATCTCATACTCTTTGTGTTTTATCATCTGTCACTTTGAAGTGAATCACAGAATTAAAATACTTTTAATAGTCAGGGAGTTAATTATAAAAAGGGGTTGTGGAAATGAGCTTCATTTACTTCACAAAAGGGAAAATGGTATTTTGTAACCTCAAAGTAACCATCAGTTTCCATACTATAACTCATAACAGTATACATCTGTTTATACCTAATTTATTGCACTTTGAGCCATGTCAAACTAATAATCCCACCACACAACTTGTAAATCACTCAGCAAACATGCTATTCGTGTTACCGTATCAAATTACATAATGCACACCCTGCTCACAAGCATACCTTGTGAATTTTTTTTTTCATTATCTTATGCAATCTAGTCTAATAAGTTTCAAATTTTTACATCTTAGTTACTTTTAAATTAATAAATAAAGAATACACATGAAAAACAAGAAATATAGTACTCAGCTTCAAAAACATTGACTTTGTCTGGGGTTACTGATGAGGGGTAGAATTTATCGAGACTGGTATACATGTAACTCAGTGACAAGTAGTGAATTGAAAGATAGAGTGGGTTTCATATTTATTTATAGCTGGAACTAAAATCTCCTTAATGCATCACATGGAAATGAAGGTGAATGATTACCTGTATAGACATAGCAATTAAAAACAGTCCACAAAATTTACAGGAAGAAGGGGCTCTACATCTACACCATAAGTTAGGAGATTCAGCAAATCATAAAGGACCTGTTTATACTTCGTTATTAAGAAACAATGGCATAAATGGTTACATACACCCTGTACATATACCTTACAGTAGCTTTGAGTTATCAAATCCTGGTTTCCCTTTTTTTAACACAAGCTGCTTTATGTATAAACAATTGTCAATATGCTAATATTTAAGTGAATCAGTACTGATACTTCCCAAACTATGCAGAAACAAGGATATTAACACCATTTATAAATTTTTGTTTGTTTTGAATTTTCTGCAAAGCTACATGAGGGCTATCTGCAATAGCCATCCCTAATTTAGCAGTGTAAGACCAGAGGGAAGGCAGCTAGTCATCACCGCCAACTCTTGGGTTACTCT